GGGGGACCCCGGTGCGGGGGGACCCCGGTGCGGGGGGACCCCGGTGCAGAGACATCCAGGGACCGGGGGCTTCCAAACCCCGGCCAGGAACAGGCGTGGGGCAGCCACAGCTCCTCCGGGCGACCTGTGCCAGCCCCCCGCCACCCTGATAGCCAAGAATTCCTTCTCAATATCCCATCTAACCCTGCCCTCTGACAGTGGGAAGCCGTTCCCCCTTTTCCCGTCCCTCCATCCCTTGTCCAAAGTCCCTCTCCAGCTCTCTTGGGGCCCCTTTAGGCACTGGAAGGGGCTCTAAAGTCTTTCCTGAGCCTTCTGTTCTCCCAGCTCTCCCAGCCTGTCTCCAGGGCAGAGGGGCTCCAGCCCGTGGAGCATCTTTGCAGCTGCCTCTGAACTCGCTCCAGCAGCTCCACATCCTTCCTATGCTGGGGCCCCCAGAGCTGGATGCAGTGCTGAATATTCCACACCCCCAGAGATGGTTTCTCTTCAATCTCATGGCAGCTAAGACAGGGTCCTGACAAGAACAAACATTTCTATGTCGTGGGATCAGCAGGGAAGCATGAGGTCTGTGGATGCTGTACTGTGTGGGCAGAGCTTCCATCAGCAAACCACCCCCAGTTTGCTCTTGGATACCCCGACCGAGCACCAGTCACAGCCTGGACTGTGGCATGGATCACTTATTCCCACCCCTGGGCTCATCCCTGCACAGCACCTGGAGTCACTCCCTGCCCTCTGCCCACCACTGGCAGCTCTGGAGGAAACCCCTGTCCATGAGGATCTGCCGCAGCTCGAGATAAACACCCCACATGCTCTTTATCCAGCAGCAGCAGCTGGAGGGGAGCTCTGCTGGGAAGGCAGGGAGGAGGCTCCCTGCCTGTGCTGTGGGCCCGGGAAGGTGCCTGCAGGCCAGGGGGGTCTGAGAGCATGTGGGTAGGGGTTTCCACCACCGGGAATCCAGCAGATTTCCCTGGGAAAAAGCAGGAGTGAAGGATGCAGTGCATAGGTCCCACTGTGTGTGACACTGAGCTGGTGTCCCAGCAGGAAAATCAGAGTATCCCTCCTCTGCTTTCGCCATTTGGCATCACCGATGGAGCGGAATGTTCCAGTGGGCAGTGGAAACGCTGTTCCCTGTCTCTGTAAATCACCCTGCCCGGATCCCTGGGGAGCACCTCCCCCGGGCCTCTGGGGCAGGTGAGATCTGTGAGCCCTGCTGTGGCAGGAGCAGGAAGGGGCAGGGGAGAACCCTTTGTTAAGGGCTAAGAAGTTAAATGTTCCCACGGTGACGACCTGACACCTTCGGGTTCGGCTCCAGATGGTCTCCCCCGGTGGGACCCATCCTGGTTGGGATGAGGTGGAATGTGACCTTGCTTTAGCCTGGTGAGAAAAAAAAAGTCCTGACTGCCCTCCCCTCCCTTCTCCTTCCTTCTTTTCTTCCCCTTCCCCTTCCCCTTCCCTGCCGCCCCGCGCGGGCCGGGCGGGGCCAGGCGGAGTCTTCTTCCCCCGACGGGATCCGCCACTGCCGTCGCTTCTCGCCGCAGCCGGAGCCCGAGTCGGAGCCGGGCAGCCCCGCAGGTAAGGGGATGCGGGCAGGTAGGATGGGCAGGGCATGCAGGGGGCAGGCAGGGCGGGTGGGAGAGGGAGGGCATCGGCAGGGCAAGTAGGACGGGCAGGGCAAGGGCAGGGCAGGCAGGGCACAGACAGGACGGGCAGGGCAGAGGCAGCTGACGCCTCTTCCCCACGGCATCGTATCCCCCACCCCCAGGATGCCGGAGCGGGACGGGGGCGCAGCCGCGGTCCCCGTGGAGGGGGGTCCCCGCTCTCCTCCGTCCCATTGAGCTGTTAACTCGGTGACTCAGCACGGAGTACAGGTGTGGGGGACACACACACAGGAGGCTCCCCGGGAGGGAGGGGGGCTCTGGCTGACCTGACCCCACCATTTCCCCACGCGATGACCCACCGGTGAGTGACCAGCGGGACGCCCTGTTATGGCTTTGCTTTATCAGCTCCTTTGGTAGCAATTAATAGGGAAGTTTTTCCCTAGGCTTTCATCCAGTGCTTTCAAAGCACGCTGTAAATCCTGGGGCTAATCGAAGGAGCCTTTACCAAAGGCTCTCAGAGGAGCCCAAGGTGAAAGCTGGACCTGGCCACAGCTTGGAGAGAGCAGCGGGTTGCTCAGAGCAGCGCAGGGGTTCTGGCTGTGGGAGGGATGGAGGGGGCTGCCCCGTCACCCCTCTACCTCTCCCTTACAGGATGGACCTCCTGGAACTCACAGGTCCTGCCGCCCTTCCCAAGCACATTCTGGACGTCTGGGTCATCGTCTTGATCATCCTGGCCACCATCCTGGTGATGACGGCGCTGGTGCTCTGCCCGGCCACCGCCGTCATCATCTACCGCGTGCGAACTCACCCCACGCGCAACGGCATCGTGTGAGGTGTGGGCACTGGGGCACGGCCGGGCAGGGGGCTGCAGCCATGGGACCCTGTGCCAGGGGCCCCGCAGAGCCCAATGGGGCACCCTGAGAGCTGGAGAGACGGGCAGGAGCCGGGCTTGGCCAGCACCTGGATGCCTGCCCCTGTGCTGGCACCAGGCTCTTGCTGGGTGAACCCACTGCCTCCTGTTGCCCACCGAGCTCACGGGGACCACGGGGGAGGTGGCAGCACAGGCAGCAGCGGGAGAGCAAAGTGGGTGACTTTGTGGACGTGTCCAGCTGGAAACAACTTGCTGCCATGAGGCAGGAAGGCTAGTCTTGCCTTCACTGGTGATCCCATCTCCTTCCAGGCAAGCAGCAAGGAGTGGAAATGCCCGACAAAATTATTTCTTCTTTGGAGTCCCAGCTCTCAGGGTGTTTGGAAAAAAGGGTCAAAGCAAGATGGATGTGGCTTCTGGTTGCGAGTTTGAAGGCTTGGCTGAAAGCATCGGTGACAGAGCCTGTCCTGGCTGCACAGCAGACGTGCAGCTGGCACTGGCTTCTCCTCTATCTATTATCTGCTGAAATTGTAGGAAAATCTCTGGGGCTCTTGGTTCCTCTGGGTCTTGCGGGGCAGAGGAGTGTGTGCAGCTCCTGCCAGCCTGTCTGCCTGCACGCTGGCTGCGCTCCCCGCTCCCGATAGCGAGAGCCTCTGCTGTTCACCCAACACACCGGCCCCACTGGGGGGTCTGTGCACCTCTCCCCTGGGCAGGTAAAGTGGGAGGAGCAGGTTTGTGCCCAGTCAGTGGCAGGGGATCATGTAAGTTCTTGCATTGCTCTCTGTTATGAAATAAATGGACTTTAACCTACACATGAGCATGTCGTGTGGCTCTGTTCACACTATGGGTGGTGTCGGGGTGCCCATGTGCAGGATCTGAGATACTTTGCAGCCTCTCCAGAAGCCCTCTCTGTGCTCCTGCACAGAGACCTCCTGCACTGTTTTGGCTCAAGGTGCTGGGGTTCTGTCTGGCCTTGGAGCCTGGCGGCCGCAGCCCTTTGCAAGGCACACTGCCAGCCCAGCCCCATGCTCTGGGAGGGCAAACTTCAATTGGGCAATGGTTGTCAGACAGCAGGAAGGATCCCTCAGGACTTTCTGACAGCAGTGGTGGCTGCTTTCCTCCCACTTGGGTGACTGGCATCGCTTTCCCCACACCAGCCTCGTGCCGGGGTCAGTGGGGCAGGAGCAGTCCTGGGGCTGAAACGTGTCCTGGTGACTCATGGCAGGAAAGGTCTCAAGTAACAGGATGAGTCAAGGATGTGGGGAAACACTACGGTGATGCTGGTGGGAATTGTTCAAATCCCAGTTTGTCTGCTGGATAGAGCAACCAGCCCTGCAGTGTTCAAATCCTGTCTCATCTCGTGTGGCTTGATCCACGGCAGCTGGCATCTGATTTGGGTTGGGGCTAGAGGGGCAGGTGATTCCCAGGGAAGCAGGACCTTGGGCAAACACCTCCCACCCCAGAAAGGGAGCCCAGCACAGACCCCTGTGAGCAGAGGAAATGCCTTCGCTGCAGCCACGGGCTGTGGTTGTGCTGGAAGGAAGGGGACGCGTATTCCTTGCCCAGCCCAGAAACAAATTTCTGTTTCGAGCTGTTGACTCTCTCTTTCCCTCTCAAGTTGCAGAATTTGAGGCAAACAACCAGAATTATTTTCCTGTTTTTCCTCCTCTCTCCCTCCCGTGCTGGCACGGTGTGGCAGCAGCTGGAAGACATTATGGATGTGCAGGGTGGGAACAGCCCCAGCTCTTCCTCCCCCCCCCCCCCATTCCCCACCCCAGCATTGCTTCCCTGGGGACGCTGTGGGGATGGCCAGCGGCATCTGGCACCAGGAACGTGAGCTGAGCAGCTTTGCTATGAGAGGAATAGGGAAGAAGCCACAAACACTGGAATGGTTTGAGAAGGAAGCCTGGTTTGGAGCAAAACACAAGGGAAAGCATGAAACACCTCCCCCCTGTCCATGCAACCATGCCTGGTGCCTGCTCCCACCTTCGTGTGCCCCTTGGAGCAGCCGAGGGATGTGAGAGGTTTCCTTTCATGGTATGAGTTTTCTGGAAAGTTTCAAGTCCGTGGCAAACATTTCCAGGAAAGGCCTTGGAAAGAGGGGTTTGCCTGTAACAACAACAAACACGGAGTGAAATGGCAGCTGGGGGAAAGCAGGGAGAAGCCAGGACATTTTTTAAATGAAGATAGGGGAGAATGGATTTAGACTGAATTTCCAACACATTTGAGTTGAAAATTCCTCCTCCGGGAATAGCAAATTCTGGAGATAAGCAAATTCTCCTGCAGCCCTGGCTTCAGTGCCTGAACAGTGCTGGAGCTCAGAGGCAGTGTTTGTGTGGTGTTTTGCCAAGGAAAAAAGCCTTTTCCTGCCTTTTGAGAAGCAGACGCTATGGCAAGCAGGCACAATGCGGGCGCTGAGGTGATTCAGCATCCACTGGGATACTTTCCTAGAGGTGCTGGAGTGCGGCAGGAGCTGGCTGCTGGCTCATGGGGGCTGCTGCTGGGGGACGAGGATTTTGGCTCTCACCTTGCCTTTGGGCAGTCCCCTTTTGCGGTGGAAAGGGGGGGAAATTGAGTCAGTGGCATTTCTGCAGGGGGACAAATCTTACCCTGGAAGAGGAAGGGATGGCAATGGGGGAGGGGGCAGCAACCAGGCCAAAGCCTGGGGGCTGCGAGGGCACTCAGGAAGGGGGGTCCTCACTCCAAAAGGTGCTGGGCACCATGCCCAGCAGGGAGGCTGCCATGGTACCAGGGCAGCGTGCAGGAGCACATGGGCTGGGGCAGGGTGGCGAGGGCTGGGCGAGCTGCGGGCTGGCAGCGTAGGGAGGCCTCGTGCCCAAAGAGCTGGGGCCTCTCGCCTGGCAGAGCTTGTTCTGCTTTTGCCTCCCATTGCACACCTAGAACAAAAGTTCAGAGCCTGCCCTGGGACTGATGCCATGTCAGGCTGCCAGAGGGAAGCTGCACTGCTGCGAGCCAGGGCAGTGCTGCCTGCTGCTGCTCAAGCTCACCACCACCACCCTGGCAACTGCTGGCCTGTCACTCTACATGGCAGAAACTGCTTGGTCAGTTCTGGGACAAGTCCAGCCAGCAGCAGTACACAGTCCCCACCCCTGCTTTCACGCTTTCTGTGCTCAGCTGTGGCCCTGCAGCCTGGCACGAGGTCTCTGCAGCCCCTGGCACGCAGCTCGGGGGCAGCCAGGGAGGCTGGTGGCAGCAGCAGCGTGGTGGCCACGGGGCTGGAAGCACCTGGCCTCCCGCCCCGAACTCCTGCCAAACATCTGCAGCAGGCGGGGGCTGGCTCCTGCCCAGCTCTGGTGGAAAAACAACCAGGGAAGGAGGTTCGTGCGAGGGTCAGCCCGTCCAGCGCGCCTGCCATTGGGGGTGGGGGACCCCAGTCCTGCAGGGTAGAGTGACACACTGCCCTCAGACAGTGTTGCTGGAGCCCCCAGCACCCTCAGCTCTGCCATGCAGCCTGAGCATGGCAAGGCAGAGCATGGTGGGGACACTGGGTGACATACCCAGGCTGCCGTGGAAGCTCAGTGACAGAGAGGAGGTCCATCGGCTGTGGTTCATTAGGTACTCCTCCACCCCCCCACCTCCACCAAGGATGATTTGGCACCAGCACCCAAGGAGAGGGGACTTGGAGAAAGAGGTGCTTTATTTTTATTTTGATTTCAGGAAAACTCAGTTCCGAAGTAGCTCAGCCTTTCCCTGTGCATGGCAGGGATCAGGGACACATGGAAGGGACACAACCACACGGTGCCACCACTGCACAAGCCACGGTGCCACCACTGCACAAGCCACGCTGCTCCTCCAACCACCAAGTCCTTATTAACCAGGAGAAAGCCACCAAAGCCCTACGCAGGAAATTAGGGGACATAACTAGAAGTGGGTGGCTGTTCCCATGGTGGGAGCTAGTGGAGCAGGGAGCACAGCAGCTCCTCAGATCTGTCCCAGCTCTGTCCCAGGAGGTGGTTCAAGCCCTGGTCAGGCTCAGCAGTGTGAGCTGGCTGGGGAGCAGGGCACTGTGCCAGGTTCACACTGGTCCCTGTGGGCTGCAGGATGCAGAGAGGTGCAGGCAGTGTGTTGGCCAGGAGCTGCAGCCCCATGGCCCTGTGGCCCCAAATCTACCCAGAGCCTGGGAAGTGGCTGGGGAGGGTCAAACCCCTAATAGTGGCTCTTACACATTCCCCCAGTTTTGGCGAAGAGCTGCCTCACTCCTCTACATCCATGAGGGTCAACTGGCGCATCCCTGTGGCCAGCCTGGCTGTTGGCACCTTGTGATGGGCTCTGGGCAATCTCCAGGCAGCAGTTGAGCATCTTTGGGGGTTTGTCTGAACCTGGGGAAACACTCCACACCCCACGCCAGGGCAGGGCTAAGGCACTTCTCCAGTAGCAGTGCAGGTTTAAAGCTTTTTGGAATGCTGCCAGTGGCGGAGGGACCCACAGCTGCCCTGCTCCACAGGTTCCCTGGGTGCCTGAAGGATGCACCCAACTCCCAGCCCTCCCACATCATCTGAGGCTGTGTTTGGAGCCAGATAATATCAGCCTTTCCAAGGACATGGTGTTCCTTCCGGTGAAAAACATGGATAGGGAGATTGCTCCCAGCCTTCTCTTAACCCACATCCTTGCTCCCCTTCCCTGGTGGCATCTCCAGCAGCCGGCTCACTGACACCATCGTGGCAGAGCTGGCCCTGCTTTCTTGTAAAGCCAAACCTCCCGCTGGCACTCCTGGTCCCCCCAGGGCTCACCCACTGCCACCCCATCCTTCCCTGTATCCCAGACCAGCCCCCACCTCAAACCGCAGTTTCCTATCCAGTTAATTCTCCCATCAAATGGTTTTGTTGGGGGATTTCAAGGAATTTACACCTCACCAGGGATATTTTCCTTGGAGACAGCCCAGGGTAAACGTTTGCATTCCTTGCCTATGCAAACAGGACGCTGGAAACTCCTGCCCCTGGGGACACCAAGGGCTAAGGGACAGTGGTGCCCTGCCCTTGACCGCAGCAGGGCCAGCGTGGAGCCACAGCCCCCGAGCCCCAGAACAGCCCCCCCCAGGAGGAACCCTCCTCCAGGGCTGCTTTCAGCAATACTCTAATTTACTGGGCACTAGGGAGAAAAGCAGGATCAACCTTCCCCAGCTCTGCCTTTGCAGCTACTGGGGGACACACACACCCCGACCCCCAGCCCGGCCTCCCCGGAGATGCTGCTGGGGGTGTTTAGTCCCTGCTCCTCGGGTGCCAGCACCCCACTGGGGGGGGAAATGTCACCTCGGCTGGGTGCCCTGCGCAGGATGGGGCACCTCTTCGCTGCGACACTTCTCTCCCCCCCTCGCCCCCTCTGCCCCCCTGGCCCCTCTCCATCCCCCGGCCCCTCTCTCTCTCCCCACTCCCCGTCCCCCCGGCACTTCCCCTCCCAACCTGCGGGTTTATCCCGGCTCGGATAACTTGTTGCATAAACCCTCCGCACATGCCGCTGCCCCGTGTTCCCGTGGGTGCCCCCGGTGCCTGCCAGGCCGTGGTGCCACCCCCGGGCGGTGTCCGTCCGTGTGTCCGTGCGTCCGTCCCAGAGCCCACACGGTTAACGCGGCCCCGGCCCGGCCCCTCCCGGCCATTGGCTCCCCCTCCGCAGCCCCGCAGCTATTTCTTGGCCGCCGGGCTCGGAGGTGACAGCAGGCGACAGCAGCGCTGGTCCCCGCCGCTGGCCCCGGGCTGTCAGGGGGGTGCCAGCACCCCTCACCCCGCGCCCCGCCATGGGGGGCTGCTCCCGCAGCGCCTGGATTTTGCCCCTTTTCTTGGCTGGGCTCGTCCAG